AAAAATGACGATAGTAAGGGTTAGGAAGGAAAAAGCAGCAGTTCCCTGTTGAAGTTCAGGCACAGTTTTGAGCGTGCTATTGATGAATCAGCCCATTTAAAATTGCAATTTTACTGTGCATAAGAACATGGTTAATGTCCCCCCTTTGGGAATGGTCTAAAGACACTTCAGTTAGTACCACCGCCCCGGTGGGTTTTCTCTCGGTCTGTAGAAATGACCTAATAATGTTGAAAACGGCTTAAAAGAACACAGTGATGAGACAACTAACTATCCTGATGTCCACAGGTGGCTGGTGCAGCTGAGCGAGCGCGGGATCTGCCTGGTCAAGAACGTGCCCACACAGGAAGGGATGGTCGCTAAGGTAAACAGCCGGGTCGCCACAGCGGGGAGAAATCATCGCCGTCACAGATTCAGCGATAGGGAAAACCCATTCTTTTCTTAGAACTTTCAAACTTTCTTATGTGGGTGGTTGGCGGACGCTATAGTGTGGTTTGTTCCTTCTTTCCTATCAAACAGTTATCGTTCTTATTTTTTTCTCCTTTTTGTTTATTTGCTACTCTTTAGTAACACCTCTAATCTTCAGCTCTAATATAACCTAATTATGCTGCAAGTGACGTAAAATGCTTGATACAACAAATAAACACACTGGAATTCGTTAAAATCTATTGTCTATTGTTGCAACTCTTGTAAAGTATCTCTGGCTCAGGACTGAAGCCTTTGTTCAGTGAGATACGGAAGTTGTGCACATGCAGTATTACACGCGAGTTTACTAGTTCTGCTGCGATAGAAGGGGAAATAATCAGTGCAATACCGGGCCGGAAATCTCGGGGAAATAACCCATAAATTGTTGTACTGTGAGTCAAGTAGATATTTTTATAATAAAAAAATACAGTGAGTCTAAGGGAAATAACCAATACAATGCAGGACGTCTTGGGGCAATAATGAGGGTGTGTGTGTGTGGCGGGGGGTATAGCTTTATTATGGGTGAGAAAAGAATAACATCTTGCTACCTCAGAATTGCTAAGCTCTATTTGCTCAGTATTCAATACTTAGTTTTGAAAAATCTGACGTCAAAGATTTTGAGTTTCACATCTTGTTAAGCTATTTAAATGCAGTTCTTTGGATACTATCCTACGAACACCAGAGGAAGGAAAAGGTAAAAGTAAAGTATTCTTTGAGAATCTCGATAATGACTCCAAGCAATCTTATGATTTTGATAGAACAGAAAGAACACTTGATTTCTGACCTCATGGTCTTAATAACTCAAAACAGCCAAAAGTGTCAAATAGAACAATTCTGAGGTAGTAAACTGCCATGATACTGCATGTCGTAAAAAGCAACTAAAGGTGCCTAGGTCTGGTCTCCCAGAAAGTGCCAGTGTGCGGAGGCATACTAATATACGGTACGGGTCTCCATGGTTCGAATCCTTAAAGGAGAGTTCTTGAACTTAAGGTGTTTTGAGAGTTTTCAAGGTTTCCAACAGACTTGACGCAGTCCTATCTGAGATGGATGTTACATCCAGAGGTTTTTGCCTCTTGTATGACCAGACAATAGTGTGGAAAGGGACGTTAAACCAAATCATTCCTAATTATTATTCTGCTATTTCCAATTATTATTCTGCTATTTCCTCTCTCTCAC